GGGGGGAGAGAAAGGACGCTAAGATACGGTCAATAAAATGAACGAGTATTCGATTTTGCAGCCAGTGCTGAAAACGCCGCATCACCGTTCAGTTTGGAGTGTGTTAAAAGATTAATCAGTGTGTTTTGTTCACGTTTAATGTTGCTGCTTTTTATGGACACTGGAATGAGTACCCCGATTCTGAAGAAAAAACAACCACAGTCCAACCTGTCCAAAGCGACTTCCCATGTGGTGGAGGAAAGTGGACATATCAGACAGGAGGTCGCCTTGGATAGCACTGCTGTCATCAACGGTACTGCTGTTCTTTTTATCCCCATGCCGTCGAAACCTAGATCTATGCGAGTGAATAGAGATCTCTCCTGTCACATCTATGTTTCTTCATCTTCCCTTCTGTAACTTTTCTTTTTAAACATTTTTATTTTTTGGTCCATATCTTTCAGATTTTTCTCCTTTTTTTGTACTGTATGTGTTTTAACACTCCCTTTGGCACGAGTCATTCTTTCTGTCTGTCATTTTTATTGGTCGCTGTCTCAGAATTAGAAAGTTCTATCTGCTCAGGCATAGTTTAGGGAAATTTGACGTCTAACGTTTTGAGTTTTACATCATGCCAAGCTCTTTCGAACGCAATTTTTTGAGTATCTTGATAACGACTCTGAGTAATCTGATGTTTTTGATAGAGAAATAGATCATTTGGTTTCTGACCTTATGGTCTCAGAAACTCAAAACGACCGATAATGTCCGAACTTTGTAATTTTAAGGTAGCGAGGGAACTGTGTGTTCCTAAAAACCAGGAAGTTTGATTTCCCGCTTTCGGTCAACTCCTCTTTGGTTACTTTGCTGTTTAAAATAGATTTATTTAAAAAGTCATAGTCGCTCCTGCCATGCTCGGGTTTGTTTGTTTTTTGTTTGTTTTTTAAATCCTACCCGGATGTTTATCCTCTTTCTTGTGAATGTTTGATTCGTCAGACCGATTTTTGGCCTGAGTTTGGGTTTTTCAAACACGCCAGTGTAGGCTGCCCATTGACATATTTTCAATATAAAGACGCAGCAAACCTGCACATTGCAAACAGAGAGGTTTCTCCTCCTCACCCCCCCCCAGACTCATAAAATAATTATGATTCCAATGCATGAATGTATTAGCTTGATTGGGGGAAAAGGTTGTCCCCGTTCATTTGGTATGTTCTTTTTGTTTTGTTTTTGGGAGGGAGGGAGGTGGTGGATGGTTTGCAAGCTTAGCTCTAAATAAACACCTGGTTTTGTCGTGTAAAGGGCAAATGTAAAACCTCGTCAATGCTCATTTAAATTGGTGTGTGTGTGTGTGTGTGTGTGTGTGTGTG